TTAGATGCAATCACACGCAATTCCGCACATACGCCTCTGAGATGGCGACGCCTCTAACGGATTCCGAGCCACGGGCACCAGATATCGTCATGCGGCACGAACCCGTGGATGTTTCTTCAGCTGTTGGAGTCGAAAGTTTTGACAGTTGACTAGTCGGTGATAATGTGGTTTGGGGAATGCTGTCTGGGGCCGTGTCTAAAACTGAAGCCGATACGAGGTGCTGCCAATATTGAATATTCGGATATTTTCCCAGTAGTGTACTCGTGCCTTGCTAGCGTATACGTACCTCGCTGCGATGAGTGAGCACATTTTCTCTCCCACTTTCTTATTGGTTTTTCCTTAATAAATTCATACAGTGCTATTGATCTGTCCTTCCTCATTTTATTATGTTTAGAATATACGCGTCTGCCCAAAGTGACTGTTACAAAAAAACAAAACAATTGTATTTATTTTCTGGGCAGAATGTCGCAGGCCCCCGGACTATATATTACTGCAACCATTTGTCCAGGCCTTAAAGTGTACCTGGAAATATACTGACTTATAACATAAATACGATTAAAGAATATACCATAAAAATTATTTCATCATATTCTGACTCGCAAAATTTCTTGTAAAAAAAAACTGCGTATAAGGCACCATCCAGCCACTTTATTTGGAACTCCATTATTTTATGACGTAATTTGAATACAGACTTTGCGGAAAGGTTGCGGTTCTGAATTTTGAGGGTGCAGCTCGCATGCTGATACAAAGGCTAGATCGGATACATATGCAATCATGTTTAGAACATTGCGGATGCGGTTCGGCTGCGGATACAACTCTTGCGGATGGAGATCGGATGCGGATGATCTGACTGTTATTCGCGCAGGGCTTTCATCTCTAATGTATGAAATGCAGTGTTTAGGAGCGATTGTTTCAATTGGTTGAAAGGCATCAAAGAGTCGTTCTGGTAGTGAAGATCATATCATATAAGAAATCAGGGAAACTTGATTTGTGTGCTGCGTGGACACTCAAGGAGAAGTCCGGAGAAAGACGTCTGGGGAGAAATCGAAGGCGCTCAAGGAGGTTGAGGAGATGTATTGGGAGAGAAAGAACGACGGAACGGGTCGGGAACTACTTTAACAGGAAGCCCCGGTCTCGGACAACGCTCCAGTGATAATTTGGACCGATCGTTCGTTCAGAGCACGTTTGAGGGCACTGCAAGCGCGACGTGCGGCCGCGTTGTCACGTAGTCTTTTTTCTTTTCTTTTTTTTAGTATTTCGCGGGTTTCCTTTTTGATGCTAATAAAAAGAGGCGCGCAAAGTGTATCATGCTGGAAATACCTTAATTGGATGTTTCTCAATGCTCTCGACATCTTTCCAGTTCGCACATCGGCTCTGAAATGAATATTTAGGAATTAGCTTATTAGTCTTAATTAACGAGGCACGCTGAAAATGTCTGCACATTTTCAAAACGCTTTCTAACAACATACATTTTGTTTCACTCACGCAGAGCGCTCTGTTTGTACGTAATGTTTGCTGTAAGTTATTTGGGACCCTGTATATTTTCTGTGATGAAAAATGTACCGAAGAAAATGGGTCTTCTTTTACATGTGGTTGCACCGGTCCCGCTGCTGCGTCCATTCACGGCGGCAGTGGAACATATTCTCGTAGTAACGACAGGCGTAAAACTGAAAGAGTAGTTTCAACGGCGAAATTGTGCCAAAAACAAAAGAAAGACAGATCGTTGAGAAATCAGCAGCCAGCGTGGAAGCGGCATGCAACAGCAAGCGTCTATAGTTCTGAGAGCAAAAAGCGGTCTAGCCCGAGAGTGTAAGAGTGAGTCGGCAAGGCCACGCTGGGCACCTTATACAGTACCCTCGGTGCCTCGAACATTCGGCCGAGAATGTTGGTGTGTCGATCCCATGGAAGCATTAACCGGCAAGTTCTTGTTGGCCTCCTTATACATCACACTTCGTGTCTCGAACATTCTTAAAATAGTTGGAGCGTCCAACATTTGGGGTAAGAGCAAAAGCAAACTGGATATAATTATTGAAAGCGCTTTCTTGGCCGTACACGCGGCATTGTCCCCCCCCCCCCCCCCCGCCAAAAAAAAAATAAATAAAACCTGCTCCACGTTGTTACGCGAAACGCGCTTCATTTGGCGCTAGTGGTGCTAAACCAATAGCGCTGCACCAAGTGTTTTGTGGAGTTAGTGGAGCTAGTGGTGAATCGGTGTACGAGGTAAAGTTAGAGTTAGAGTTAGTTAGATTTAGAATTAGTTAGAGTTAGAGTTACCGTTAGATCTAGTTTGAGTTAGAATTAGAATTAGCTAAAGTTACAGTTGTAGCTAGTTACAGCTAGAGTAGGTTAGACTAAAACCCAAAAGGTATTTAGAGTTGTAGTTAGATAGTGTTGGGAGGTAAAGTTGGCCAGAGTTACAGTTGGCGGTTGTCAGATTCAGTGGAGTTAGTGGTTGTAACTCGACGTTTTTTATGTCAGTTTTTCCTCAAAATATAGAAGGTATGTGTAGGAAACCTGACGTTCATTTTATCGCTAAATCTAGAGAGTAAATTGAATTTCTGTATAGGTTTCGTGACATGACGTCATGCGACATTATTTTTCCCGCTAAATGTAGCAGGCCAACTAAATTAGTGTCCAGGTCTCGTGACGTCAATTTCATCGCTGAATATAACGGATTAAATGAATTTGTCTGCAGGTCACGTGACGCAAAGTCACGTGACGTCATTTTTGAACCTAAACTTTGCAAAATAAAGAGGAGTAGTGTTGAGGTCACATGGCGTCAATTTTCTTGCTAAATCTAGCGGAAAAATATCGCCTTAAACTCGCACAGTCCACCGGGCGAGACAAAGGCGGTAATATCTCCGTCCCGGTCATCGACTTCGATCTGCCTGTAGGCATTTTTCAGGTTCATCGACGAAGATTATCGGGAGTGCCGCAGCCAGTCGAGTGTTTCGCCGATGTGGGGGACCGGGTAGACGCCCTTTGTCACTGCGTTGAGCTGCCAGTAGTCCAAGCACGACCGAGGCATTCCCTCCTTCTTAACCAGGAAGACTCGAGAGGCCCAAGGACTGCTTGAAGACTGGATGATGTTGTCGTTGAGCATTTCCTGTGCTTGCTTTTAAATGGTCTTTTTCTTTCTTTACGAATACATGGTGCGGCGAACGATGCATAGACTGCGCGTCGCCGTTGGTGACGATGCGATGCCTCCGAAACCGCTGTCTGGCACAACATTCACAACATCGAAAAGCAGTCACTAAATTCGGCGAGAAAGTCTATCCGCCGTCATTGTTTCGAGATGGGGAGCTGCGGGCTAATGTCGAGTTTCAGTAGCGGCGTAGTGTCCTGGTGATATGGCTAGGTCCTCAGAAGTCGCGGGGATTTCAGCAAAGTCACAGTTCCTGGACATGACACAAAGCGGAATCATTTACGAGATGTTGTTTGTCCTGCTGGACGTTCGTCATAAGGACAACAGTTTGACCTATTTTGTATTTCCGGTACTCCCTTTGCGACGCCTATTGTTCTTCATAGAAGCAGGGGAACGTGGTCTTCGGGAAGGACATCGCCCAAGATAGCTGCGTCGGTCACGACGGGTACAAAACCTCTTGATCGTGGGGGCAGGTTCACGTGGTAGACAATGATTCAGACAACGGCTGGCATCGTTCACGCTTCCTCCAAAGCAACCAAAGGTTTTCGCAGTGTCAAACTTTCCGCTCTGTGGTCGATTGCTGACGAGTATACACACAGAAAGTCCATCTCGACAATGACCTCTCGTGCACAGCCTTGTTGAACCATAAATTTCACGAGGCATATTGAACCATGGCGCTTAACTCGCACTTACGGCGGGCACAAAAAGGTATCCTCCGACGGTTCGAATTTGTGGCGTCGGCGCCATAGTTTTCTTTAAGCGGTGTGAGAGTTTTCCACGCATGATGAAGTAGTCTTCGCCAATATCCACGAGTGTCGATATGTCATGATTGTCGATGATGACGTTGAGGTTCTTCGGCATCTTTCCAGAAATTTTGGTCAAGTGCCTGGTATCGTTAGCGTGGGTCATTCCGATGGAAACCGCGCAGCACTAGAAGCCGGAAGGGGAAATGGCTGTAGGTATGGTCGTTTTCTACGCAGTCTGTGCAAAGCAGGCGAGGGCCGACCGCTCACCACACGTCGGACCTTCTCGGCGTAGGTGCTTCCAAGCGTGTGCACTAGGTCCGGACGTATTGGTGTCGGATATACATGCTTGCGGGGCACTACGGGTGTCCTCCTGGGATTTACGGCGTACGTTGCCGACGGGGCTTCTTCAAAGGCTTCTGCTGCGTTAATGGGACCCTTCATTTGGACGGTTCGCTTGATTCCCACTTGTACTACACCGGCAATAGAGAGAGAAGTCGGGCGATTGAGAGCAGGCAGCAATTTTCTGAGCTCCTATCGCATGACGTCACGGATCTTTTCTCCAAAGCCCGGAGGGAGAAAACAGAAAAATTACATGGAGAAGAATTAAATTTAACGCCGGGAGCTCGATTGCTCTCACAGCCGCTGTGACAGCCTCTATTTTTTCTACAGTTCATGAAAGGTTCATGCATTGATCATCACAACTTTCTCAAATAAAGACAACTATTTAAACATGTTTAGATGTTTTATTGGTGAGAATGCTATGACTATTAGGTGATGATGAGAACCTCACTCGAAGATGTTGCACGGAAATAAAAATGAAGAGATCTATTAAATTTTCCCCCGCCGATATTTTATTCCGCCATCTTCCAGGCTCGAAAAATGCATCCTTGTGCATAAAAGAGAGAGTTAATGAACTTTGTACGGGCACGTTCACCCCGAAGGCGCGGCGAAATTCCACAGGTGTTTCTCTTTACAATGGTTTATAATAAAACAATGACGTAAAACTGATGATGTTTTAGAGTGAAATGGCATCCAGGTTCTCACTTTGGCAGGTATAAAAGGACCACACGTTGTCGTATATTCACTCAGATTCCTGTCGAAGGCGCTATGATGTCGTTTAACGTGTGTACCTTTCTTCAACTGGCCGTCTTTGTTGCCATTGTATTTAATGTCAAGTGAGTTTTATTTTATATCCTCTCAACTTTGTTTATCACTCAAGACTTCGTCTCACGGCAAAATCATCAGAGTTTTATAGGTTGACTCTAGCGAATTAAGTTGCTCCAGACAAAGTTTACCTTTAAAACTTAATCCGTTTTTAAGAGAGAGAGAGAGAGAGAGAGAGAGAAAGAGTCAGAAGAGGAAGAACAGAGAGGTTAACCTAGGTTAACAGTCCTGGTTGGCTACTCTGTTTTGGGGAGGCGGTTGTGGGGAATTAAAAGAGAACGGAAAGGATAGGTGAATATAAAACATTAATCTATTCATAAACTGTGTAACACAAGCAATTTTCGGTTTGCTTAATTTTAGAAAATTTCAATCATCAACATTTTTTTTTACGTTTCAGTATTTGGAGTTTGACTCAGTTTCAATGCGTGTCTTACGTTGCTGATTTTTTTTAAACTCTTCCCTACGCTGGACATTAGGATAGATGAGGTTACCACTAAAGTTACCAGTCGTGGAGCAGGTACAAGGCTAGCGGTTGCTGTAAGGCGCCCTCGCAATATTTCCGTCCCTTATCTAGCCCCAGCCTTGTACGTGCTCCACGAGTGGTAACTTCAGCGAACTATTGCACTTCTCACGCGCTCAAAGTTTTTCTAATGATTACTGATTTAGGGGTTTTGGACGAAGCTCAGCCAATTTCTAATTGGAGACATATGACTATTTTGAAAAGTTAAAAAGTTAATTAGTGATCTTTAATTAATTAGCCGACTAATCGCAAAGATTACGCAGCCACATAATGTCCCCCTGGGCGTATGACTCACTTGCACAAACCGCATAAGTGTAGCTTTCATGGGTTTTATTTTAAACAATCTGCAAGAATAAAAAAAAAAAAACTTAAAGCTATTTTAGACTTAGATTTCTTTTTATTATTGCAACACGATTGTTTCGAAACAGTACTGCAGTGAATTTGTCTGCTCATATATTGTCACATAATGTAATATAACGATCAATGTTAATTTAATGGAACCTCGTGGCTTATACGCCAGTTCAGTATAATTTGAGAAACGCTCTCTCTTGTGCCGTTCGTTGGGACAGAACTACTTAAACTTCATCGGCCGCCAGGTTTTATATATAATAATATTTACATGAAAACCGATTCAACTAAAAATAAACAGCAGAGGGCGCGCTTACCTTGAAATATACAAAATCACTAGGAAATTAAGAGGAACGTTTTTAGGCAATAGTGGAGTTACGGAAGAGCAGTTCTCAGTTAAGAAGAAAGTTAAGGCCACAAAAACAAATCGGTGGCTAGAGGGAATGCAGACAAAGACGGCTCTGGAAAGCTATAGATTAAACAAAACAGTTACTGCCAAAGAAAGCATTTATGACAATTCTAGGGGAAGCTCATTGTTGTTTGAGGCAAGGACAGGTGTTTAGCGAACCAGAACATACTGAGCGAAGTACCAGGAAATAGATGCAGTGTGCGCCACTCGTGTAGAGGAGAACGGGACGGCTGAGCTCTTGATACTATACTGTAAAGGGCTTCACCTTCCGAATACAACATCGATTCAATAAAGTCATTGGGTTTTAGAGACAGCGAAGTAAAAGTGGATTTCAAGACAGTAGAGATTACCAACCCTACTGAAAAAAACAGCTTAAGCTGGTCCCAGCGTCAAGCTGGGTTATTGCCCCGGCATGCCCAGCTTGGCATGTTGGTTGATCTGGTCCTACTGGTCATGGTGGTTGATCTAGTTATACTGGTCATGCCGGTTGATCTGGTCCCAGCGTCAAGCTGGGTCGGCGTGCCCAGTTTGGCGTGCTGGTCCTGTTGGTTGATCTGGTCCCAGCTTCAAGCTGGGTTATTGCCCAGCATGCCCAGTTTGGCATGCTGGTCATGCTGGTTAAACTGGTCATGCTGGTGGACTTCCCAAGCAGTTTAACCTGTTTAAATGTATACACAGGATAAACAAGCCAAGCTCTTCAGAAAAGCCAGCTCAGCATCCATTTTATTATTCTCGTACTTGCGGCCGCCTCACATGAACTCAGCTGCTACATATCCTCAGCGCTGACACAGTACTAACCGACGCACAGACAGTGGTTCTCGGTGCAAAGCCAACAATGTTAATAAAACCAGACTGCTTATCGTTCAACACGAAAAATACTAGACACTCGCCAAAAATAGGCAATAGCTAAAGAAAAAACTACACGGATGAGAGAAGCGAATTTGGGTCCCGCCAGTGATGGGGGCGAAGAGGCAACTTGCGTGGTCGGCACAGGCGAGGAAATCCGTGTGGCTTGGATGGCATTGGCGATACTCCTCGGCACTACCATCATTCACGAGCACACACACGTTCGAAGACACGAAGCGACGCCTCAGTAGGGACGTCCGACGTCTTCCCGCGCTGAACGGACTGCCGCTCGCTGTCTCCTCAAAACCCGCTTCGCCTGCACCGTCGTTCAAGTAGTCTACAAACAACGCGCATAGAGCCGTCCCTTCGGAAATCTGCGCAAGATATCAAAACGCGTCTGAAATTCTCCGTTCCTACCACTGTCTCTCTCTCTCCCTCTTTTCTCGCACACAAAGGGAGCTTGCAACGCGTCTGGCGCGCCCGGTCGTCCACCAAAAACGAGAGGACAAAGAGCAGGACGTGGCCTCGTTCCAGCCTAAGCCGACCTTGGCGCGCGCGCTCTCAGCAATGCCAGTTCAGCTATCTCGTGCCGACCTCGGCGTGCGCGCTCCCAGCATGACCAGCTTGACCACCACGATTATTAGTTCGATCATATTTACTAGCTTATCTCCCAGCATGACCAGCTTATCTCCCAGCTTGACCACATTGGCTCCATGGAAAACCAGTTTGACCAGTTAGGACCAGACTGGCTCCCCGGCTACACCAGATTGAATCTAAAACCAGATTCTAGTTTGACCATGCTGGTTTTTACTTCACCCAGACTGACCAACTGAAATTCTAGCTTGCCCAGCTTAAACCGGCTTGATTGGCAGTCAAACCAGTTTGACTACCACATTTATCAGATTGATCAGCTTAGTTACCAGCTTGGCCAGTTTGATTTTCATGCTGTTTTTTCCAATAGGGAAGCAAAGATTAAGTGAATGATGGCAGAAAGCCAGAGAAAACTAGGTATTTTCTTATTAACTGATGGCAAGGGGTTTTTATAGCCTCACTTTCTTTTCAGTGCGGAGGGAATATAGTTTTCACATTTAAATATTCTAAGCTTGATAGGTAAAACAAAATGGCTAGGTGGCGTAAGCAACCGCCCGATCCCAAGGGCTCACCCGGGTTCATCCATCCATCCATATAGAAATAACGATTCTAAAATGTTTATTCACACCTAATGTTTTATCAAAAGCTCTAGGAGATCTGGTCTTTAACTTTCATGGAGGATGATTTTTACGACTAAGTAACAGATGGTTCTTTATAATAATAAAGAGAACTTAGTTGCTCCAATGTTATTTACTGTTTCATATAGCTACGTTGTGTATGGTAAATATAAAATTAGTGAGAAGTATTTACCAAAATGTACAGTGATCTTAATTTAAGTAATTTTCAATTCTAAAGAACGTATACAATTCATTATTTAGGAGTATGCATGTAGCCCATCATTACCGACCAGCTTTAGAGATATAACAAGCTTGGATGTAAATGATCTCTATCATTAACAAAAATAATGTTGTTTATGAGACGGATACAGAACATACCACACTTATATAGTGCATTTACTCTAATCCATACCAAAAGGTAATAGTGGCGTGAGTCGTATAGGCACGGACTTCACCATGAATTTATCAGACTCGGGAGACATTAGATAGTGGAGTAACATCACGATAAGTTAGCTAATTTACCTAAATTAGCTAAATAACTTTGAAATTATTGGGTTTCATGAATATTTCGGTATGTCAGCGTTGACAGCAATTAACATTAGATAGGAAACGCTTTGAAATAATTTTGAATTGCCAATTGACTTTAAGTTAATCATCAATATACTTCCGCGATTTTACGCCAAATTCCAAAACAGCATTTATAAAGAGCTCGAGAAATTCCGTTCAAAATGATGCATTAAAATGCGACTTGGGCGTTTCACGTTCCTTGTCCTACGCCATTATATTTGGTATTTTTTTCTTAGTGGCTGCTCTAATTAACGTTGCGCAATGTACAAAATGAGAGAGTGCCTGAAACGAGTACGTCACTCTTCCATGGATACTTATGAATGGGAGTCTACTCATTTCTTTGCGTTCAGATCTTGTAACCGCGATACTAAGACATGAAAAAAGACCCATGAGTTACTAGAAACTGAATCGTGTTACAACATTTTCTAAATCAATATAGCTCTAACTGTAAGTGCCCTCTGTATTGCAATTGCAGCGCAACCCATAAAACCGTTGGTGGCAAATTTAATTCTCGAATATATTTAATTAGCCAAATTATCATAACAGTGATGATATCATCTAAGTCCATCGAACATTAGAACTGTGTGGCGATGAACGTGTCGTTGTAGAGCACTAACCTATCTTTAAACAAATGTTCGAAGGGAACTCAAAACAATCGTTGTATAATACACAGGGTGTTCCATGGGATTTACAAATTTGCGTAAAATTACACGTGAAATGCATATACGTTGTGTGCAGTGAAATGTACATGCGGTGTGTGTAGGAAACATAATACAGTGGGCTAACCGTTATGATAACTGTAATAATAAGCTAAAATGTTCTAATAACTTTGACATCAGTGAAAATAAACATGATCGTTTTACTTATTTTAGAATCGTGCCCCGGCCATCCGTTTTCGCGTCTGTAGCCTTGAACATGATATACAAGTGGTAACTTTAAGTCACCAGGCGTTATAAATTTTTCTTAAATTTACTGAATTTGCGGAGTTCGAGAGCAAGTTGCAACTTGAAACCATATGATTTTTTTTTTTCGGATATAAGACTTTAAATAACAGATTTTGGGTAATTATACAACTCACGGCAAAGCAAAAACTATCTATGAAGGCTAAAAACACACCTGGACATGTGCTGTTGAAAGTAGTATTGAATGAACCATGTGTTATTATTTGTTAAAAATATACTAACTTTTGTAATTGTTACGTTCAAAGGAGCCTGATAATATTTCCGTGAGTTTCTTCAAACACCTTTTTTTTCTAAAGCTTCTTATCTTAGAATATTATGTAATATTCTAAGATATATGTAATATATTCTAATTGTAATGTTCTAAGATGTATGTAATATTATAGAATATTACAAATCTTTATATCTTTCCAGCCTACATCCAGTTTCTGCTGAATCCAATGGACAAAGTTCCTCTTCCAGTTCTGGAAAGTCAATGAAGGTCGATTTTTGTGAGACAAACGTAAGTTCACTTTAGTGTATTATAAAAGATTGTTTTTTCTTGTACACTCTAAAAACGTCCTGCGCGTCTGCTTTCCCGAAAACCGCTCGAAGAGCAAATCTCTGCGATCTGCGAAACCAGCTCAGCGAATGATGAGGGGGAACATCCGTTTAAACCTAAAGATGAAGTGTGCTCGGTGGCATTACACAATCCAAAACGTCATGCTGGCATTGCGTAATGAAACTGCGCAGACGTAATTTTGAGGTCTAAACAGATGTTCCGCCTTATCAGATTTGCTCTTGGAGTGTTTTGCGGCAATGTAGGCAAGCACGCATTTTTAAGAGAGTAGTAGTCTTGTTTATTCATGGACAATTTTAATAATAAAGATTACTATTACCAGACGTGAACATTTTAAGCTATTTATAGGTATCGCCATACTGTCTAAACTCGAATGTTATTTAATTAGTGTTTATTGCCTCGTAAGTCTTCTGCAAATAGCAAATATATTAAACAGGTCAGTATTTTTTAACTTTAAGCTGTTTTTTTTTTAGTTTTACTTTATTTTTCATGAATCGTTGCTGCTGCTAGTATGTGCCCCCAGACACCCTCAAGCTGTCTTTGACAGTTTTTTCTCTAGGGTCCCCCAACAACATGCATCGGAAAACTAAACGAATTGAATTGAAATAAACTCCAATCGGCATGTTTTTGCTATTTTTTGTTATTCATCAATGTTTTTCTTGAAAGTTCCGGACCATTATTTCCGGTCATCGGGTGGTAATATGCCACGCAACGTTTTTCTAAATACTCCAAAATGCCGAAATCGTATAAACATGAATCATGTTTTCATGGCATCATCCCGTAGGAACATATCAAGGCTCACTTACATCAACATAGGTGCGCGAAATCGGTGAAGTCTTGTTTTTAGTGAGTCCATAACCAGATTAGCACATTTCTCACCCGGTACAATATGCCGAGCCTACGACTTTGGGACGCCCACTTGTATTGGCTAATTTCGCATTCTTTTATCACCATACGAAGAAGCAAACAAATAGTCTCACATAACTACAATTACTAGGTTTTTGGTATTTTCAAACCAATATGCAGAAGTCAAATTTTTCACCAGTATAAATTACATCTACAACCTTAAACTTCTCGGGCACTTGTTTTGTTGCCGATGGAATATTTTTTACATAAGAAAACGAGTCTAAACGGGAGAATATTGATCTAATATTTTTAAACATAGATTGATTGTACTATAGTATTTTTTATTGTGGATGCATATTTATGAGCAACTATGGTAGTTCTTTAAGATATTTAAATTGGTAAAATATGTTAATTAATTTCGTACTCTTACATTAAATAGATCTCAGCTCAACTCACAATTTCACAACAGTTTTTTTATTAAATTTTATATACACCATATTGCAACATATCTAGTTCTGATTATTTCACCAAAGAGAACTATTTAAAATCATTTTGTTTTTAACAAGGCATCGCATATATGACGTAATAATGATAGAAACAAGTGTAGATGAAATAAAGTACCTATAAATATATGATAATACGAACAGCTGTGTATTGCTTGAACGACCTTCCCGAAAGTCCTTCTAGGGAAATTCAGACGTTAATAAAATATTAATATTCCGTGAATAATTTAAAACTTTACTGACGTGGCATAAGTTCAACTATTGCACCCTTGAAACCCACCTTGATACAGATGTACTTCTATATAATATGCATGCGCACCATGTCTTCAAAAGCTAAAAAAGCACTTCCGCTAGAAATTGACCATCAGTTTATAACTTAGATATTTGTAAACCCATCGTTGCAGTTTCTTTTTTTTAATTACAGAAACGGCAGCTGAATAAATGTTCTCATTACCTTAGTGTTCTTGTATCACTTAAATTAGAGCGGTTAAATCAAGTACGTTATTTACTTGTATCCATGTATTATATTGTTTATCTGACGTACGGTATTTCTTCGCAACCGACCAGAACACCGTTTATATTTTACATATGTGATAAGTAATTCTCAAAATATATATTTGTAAGTAAAATATGCGTAGATACACTCCGTTACATATATTAGCACATGTCCTGCCTATAAATTATGCTTAAAATCTAATTTGGCTTGTTAGGTTTGGAAGCGGTTCTCCGGTGTTAAAAAGAACACGTTTTATTGTATTAAATGACTACATATTCAAACTTCTAAATTTCCCTGAAAAGCTTCCCATCTTAATATTTACTTCTGGCAACAGACTACAAATTTTAATTCCATCACGGGTTTCTTTTTTTTTTTTTTGCGTAATGACTTAACATCAAAGCTTCAAGCGTCTCAGTACTAAAAGGCAAAAGCGTGATTCCCTAATTCGAAAAATTCAAATGACATTAAACAACGACGTAACATATACAGTAATACAGGCTTCACAATTATCGCGCCTCTTATTTTTTATTTTTTTCATTTTAGTGTACAGAGAAAGACGGAGTGTGGAGCGAGTGCACTGGCGAGTGCTTCTGTGTACATGTTGGCGACAGCAAAGAAGGTCGCTGCATGCATGTGATTAACTGACTTGGGCACCCCATCAGAAGACCGAACTTAACCGCCCTCGACGCTGACCGAACTAGCCCCATGCTCCCGAAGAGAAAAACGGCGGAACCATGACACTACAGCCCTTTAATTAAGATTCTGTTATGCACTTATATTTACCGGGAAACACGCAAATAAAAGTCAATAAGGATATAACGCAACCATGAATGGATTGTTGTCTTCTTATTTTGGAAAGAATCTCAAATAGTCTTCATTTATGCGCTATTTTCGTCGTTAATTAAACGTTCGAGGAACAAAAATGATCTCGACTCAAATATAAATAATAAAATAAAAATATTGATCTCATTGTTTTAAAAAAGTGGACATGAAACGTTTTAAATTGAGTAGAGAACGGTAGACTTTTGTTTCCCTTTCATTTCTGGCGAATAAAAAGGAGACCAGCAAAATACCTTGTTTTCGGGAGTTGTTAACACCTTCCCTGGACTTCTGCCGTAAAACCAGTAATAGAGCATGTGATAGCGTGTTACTGGTTTGTAAGTATTCATGTTTCACAAGCTGGCAGCGCAGAACACGCTTTAATTTAAGGATTCAGAAACCTCTGGTACTATGCTTGTCCCATCAAACCAGATGTGTGTGAGGTAAGGGGAGGAAGAGAGAGCTGGAAGGGGGAGCTGGCATTCTACGAATGTCCTCCGTCCGGCAGACCATATGAGTGTAGTAAGCCAGTTGCACATCAGTCTTGGCAGGAGGTGGGATGTAAGAACAGCCCATACCTCAAAGCTTTGTCAAATACTTTACGAGGGGGAATACAGGACACTCCCCGCGAATACAATGGCCTCGGGGACGACAGGTTTTGCGCACTTTGAATGGGTGGATGTGTCATGGCATTGCGGTTTTCCCCTTTAGGATCGGATGGTGACTAGCGCCGTCTCTCGGTGCGGGATATTTTGCTACCGGCCGAACTTCTTTCAGTGCGTGCACGCTGTTTGGTCGCGGCGGCGTAAGTCGTCTGTGGAATTTAAAAACCTGCGGAAACTTTATTGGTGGCTCATTTAAAGGGCGCATATACGTAGGATAAGCCCTATGTCTACGTTCTGTTATATAAACCGCACGCATGTGTCCCTATCAGCGAGTATCGAAATTTGTACGGGCGGTTTTGAAAGCTGCTCTAATACGTGTGGTCAGTCGTAATCGCACTCCAAAGCAGTACGGAGCAGCTAATATTAAGGAACTATGTCGACACGAGAAGCACGTTTAGCAGGCACAGCAATGTATCGCCATATACTGCACCGCAAAGTATTTGCTACTATGATTATCGCTAAAGCGACTGAGAAGGTGCCTTGAGTAAACGACCTTATTTTTGCGAGCTCGGTATGTCTGGAACTTTCCGAAGTGCTGGTTTCGGTAATGTCTGGCTGGCGCAAAAAGTTTATGTTAGGAGTGGAGTTCCTTCCGTGTATTAAATATGAGACAAATTAACCGAGTGATCCATTTCTCGCTATTTTCAAATTGCGAATAGATGGTGCTTTGCAGCAGCCCAAGGCAACAAAACAAAATATTCAGAAAGTTGGGAATAATTTTTGATTACTTCGTGTATAGTCAACATAATTCCTAACAGACCATGCTCGCCTTGAACAAAGTTGGTTTAGAATATTTTAGTATTTCTACAATGATAATTGAAGGTGCGAGCTCAGATTCCACTCATAAATGTTATTCGACAATTTGTTTTTTTGTTGAAACAATATTTATTGCATATTGAACAAATATGTAGAACTTTGGATTCAACAGACACAGATCTTTGTTTACACAGACAATAACACTTTGTACAAATATATACAGCGCAGCATTCAACAAACACGGATCATATATATGTTTTACTAACGCATTTTGAATAAGGTAGGCCAGCATAAAAAACGCGACGCCGAAGTTGTTTACTTACGTAATTTGATCTGGAGGGCACCAAGAGAATGACAGGTTTTCTGCCCTGGAAGGTTCGGTTCTTGCAGTGGAGAACGGAGCACACTGTCCCTCCGGCCATCTTCACTGGCTGTTTACAGCAGCGAACGCGTAATACTTGGTGCACTACAGCAGGACACTGTATAGCGTGTCATCCGCAGAGAAGGACGCCGGCATCAAAATGCGGTGACAGGTCGCACAATAGTCGCCGCTGATAGTCGTCGCGCCCAGCCTAGCCCGGTGCCCGCGTGATCACCCGCCCGCGTTTGGCGTCGTCGGTGACGCATATCGGTCACGTGTTCTGGCGGAAGGAGAAAATGGGAGAGGAGGGGAGGGAAAATAGGGAGAGCGACACACCCAAATTATACCGCGCCACCAGGGGAGGAATTGGCGCGGCCATCGCTCCGCCTAATGCAAGTGAGCGGAGTGTCCTGTATTCCCCCTCGTAAAGTATTTGGCTTTGTCACGCTGATCGACATCCCTTACTCTCCACGCCCTATGACGGTAGCACACCAGGCCCGGGCTGCCCAATAGAAATTGGCCTTGGCATTTCCCATGCCCAGAGGAGCAGTACCGCGGACTTTGTCGTTGTCATTCTGCCGATGTAGGTAATAAAAAAGAAAGGTGTGCTATACTCCTTTCACCGCTAAGGTACGACTCTAATAGAAGACCTGCCCGCAGGACAGATTGCCGCCTCCCTCTCATCACCGGGCCAGGCTCCCTGCGCGCGGGTATATGCGGAAGTATGATCACGTTTCTAAATAGAGACAGATGACTCAATTTCTCAATTTCTAAGTGAGAGAAAAAAATGAAATGAACTGTTCCTCTCGACCTGCACCACCTGACGGTATAACAGGTTTGATCCAATATAATATAAAAAATGAGGGCCGTAATTGACCAAACGTTTCTTTAGTCCTTAAAGCCAATTAAAAAGAAAAACAGGGAGACAGCTGAACATTGGCATTGGAACGAACTTGGAGAATCTTGCGAGCAATTATGAGTATTTGTGTTTCGTTTTTTTCCTTTGGTATTAAGAATGACCAGTCATCTGTCTGGTCATTCGACCAGACAGATGACTGGTCGAATGAGGACGTAGCTTCCACAACGGTCACAGCTCAAACGAGAACGGAGTATTAGCTGGTGCAGTCTGCGAAATTAAAAGCACCAGGGAACGGGACAATAGAGACGAGACAAACAAACATCTACATTCAACTGATCGTTAATGTGGAAAAAACGCAAGTACATATGCCTTCTCATATTGATGACGGAATGTACTCGAATTATTTTTGTGTTATATGTAATGTCGCTGCATTAATACATTTTGCTCCACCGGCAAACCTGACGCTGAAAGCCTCGAAAATTTTCCTTTCGATTTTTCTCTTTCCTTTTCCCTGCATTTTTTTCCGTTTCATCTCAGTCTGGCAGCAATATTTGTGGCAGTGCACCGTCAAGTGGCCTGATGATTTTTATTTAGTTGAAGAGATCATGGCCTTCAAGCAAAGCGAACAACGTCAGGCAACTTGGCGGTGCACTGCTACGAATATTGCTGCCGGCTAGAGTTTGGAAGGAAAAAAATAACATCTAGGCAATAGGAAAAAGAAATTACATATATATTTTCGAGGCTTTTAGAGTCAGGCTTGCCAGAGAAGCAAAATGTGTTAGTGTGCCGTTATTGCATCTAACACAAAAATAATTTTAGTACATTGGGTCTTCGACTGAGTAGAAGTTATATACTACATTCTAAAAACTGTCACGCTGAACCTCACGCTAACCGCGAGTTTCAAGCGTGGAACCGACGTCAATACGACGGAAATGACGTTTTAAGCACCACGTGATCGAGAACAAGCGTTTGTTTTCGGCGTCCAAGCGTTACAGCAGTCCGAGAAATCCCACTCGGCCTTTTTTTTTTTTGGACGTGATGAACAACGTTAGCGTGACGACCGCAAAACACACGCTTAGATTTTTGGAGAAACGCGCGCGCCTCCATTGATCGTCACGCTAATATGTATCCGAATGGGTTGACCCTCCTGAAGATGCACCTGCGCGTGCTTTTTTCTTAAAATTTTGTTGATGTGAGGTTTTTTTCTCTGGAAGCACAGAGGGCGCATGCGTCCTCTTTTTTGGCGGGAAAAGCGAGAAAGCCGTTACGCTGTTCCCGTTGCTCCCTGGCTCGCACATTCAGTTCCCAACGCGCCTTGTTTGTGGCTGGGGCTGGTGGCTGGACCAGCTTGACTGACTGAGACTTGCGAGACTTAGCGGGAGACGGCGCGTGAGCTCGGGCACAGTGTGCCATGTGTACCGCACTTGACGTGCGTGGAGTGCCGCGGGGTCGCTGCAAACATAGCGTGTGCGAGTGCCCCGAATTCATGCAAGAGACAGATCTGAGTGCCAGCCAAGGAAAGGGCTTCCCATTTGGCTCGTGCCTTTAATGCGGCCATTCGCCAGCTATTCATTGAATACTGCAATATTTGGGTAAGAACCCTGTTTTCGTTTGTCCCTCATTACTGTCTTAATCTGCTGTTTTTTTTTTTCTTTTGTTACGAAAGCGCATGTATCAAGTAGCACAATGTCCACCGTGTTTCTTCGAGGCGATGTGCTTTTCAGCATAACTGCCACATCTAGGAAACAGTTTTTGCAGTTTGTGATCGAGTACGGGATTGCAACAAATGTTGTTTATTCGGAGAGGTGAAGGAATGAACCGTGCATGTTGGGGCGTAGTTGAGTTATTCGGGCGGTTTTGTTCTCGGCTGTAGACACTGCAGTACATAGGTAAGCTTGTTATTCCAAGTGTTGCATTGCTGTCGCAAAAACTTCAAAATCATATTTTGCCGGAAGTCCCGCCTATACGTCGGTCTCCCGTGTTGAAAGTTTACGGTTCGGAATCGACGAACACCCAGATTATGGGTGAAGGAGAGAATGGGTACGTGGCAATGTGGAAAGGGAAGAAGGCAGGGTGGCAGCAGGAAAGAAGGGAAAGGGTACACAACGTTGTATGGCAGGAGGAAAAGGGTCGCAGCGGTGAAGGAGATGCAAAGAATCACAGTGAGTAACTGCAGAGGCAGCCGCGTCAATCTTTGCATGTTCCAGTGCTCGTAGGCATGTTTTCTTTTGGTTTTGATCGGCCTCAACCCAATCGTTTCTT